TCCTAGACACATGTCCGTATACGATGCAGGTGAGAGTTCTTCACATCCTCCCACCTGGAGTTATCAACTCCACATACACGTTATTATACTAATTTTCAGAGTAAAATAAAAATACAAATTACGCAGAGATTACGCTTTATAAARACAAGGYTTCTTACTGATACGTCCACTTCGCGTTTTTACTATGTCTGTCGTATCGCATTCCGTCTTAGGTTTACAMTCTTTTTCTCTGGCATTGGTAGGAGTAATTTTCTCMTTCATTGTCACRCTTTCGTCYTCTACATTCATACTATCTATATCGCTCTCGACTTCCAGCGGATAAATACGTTGTAACGGTCTCTTTAAACTCCCTTCTTTGGTTCGCAGAATCGCGACCCTCGCTGTACCGTCACGACCCATTATCAGCCTTTCGATTCTAGCCAAAGGCCACCCGATACGTTTTCGATTGTCGTCGCCTATCATGACGACATCACCTGGTCTCAAGATACGAGATTCTTTTACGTCGCCTTTTAAAACTAGTTGACTGAGATATTCTTTTCGAAAGCGTTCCCGTAAATGTTTTATAAGYTCTTGCTTATATCGAATAGCTTTATCAAAATTGAYTCTTCTACTAATATCTACATCTGGACATTCAGATTCTCTAAGATCTTGCAGAAACATGGCCGGGGTAAGAGGCCTTAAGTCATCCGGCGAATCCGACACGTACGTCAAAGGACGCGAAKTTATGGTGCGCTCGYAGTTAACTAATACAGTATACATTTGCTCGTATGTGAGGCACGCTTTTCCYAGAATTTTTCGCAGAATGACTTTTACCATACCTATTAGRCGCTCCCACCAACCTCCCCACCATGCTGCAGTCGGTGGATTAAAGATCCAATTTATTTGTTTTGCGGAGCTATACTTAGCGATTGCATTCCAATTTAATCTTTCGAACATGTTATTAGCTCCAAGAAAATTCGTGCCATTGTCACTATAAATGACCGATGGTCGACYGCGGCGACTAATAAACTTATMTAACGCATCTAGAAATGCCGCCGTCGACATAGCGGTTACGAGTTCTAAATGTACGGCTCGATAGACCGCGCAAGTAAATAAACAGATCCAAGCCTTCTGTCGCCCGCGTAAATATAATGGCCCTGCGAAATCTACACCCGTTATTTGAAACGCAGCGGCGTCTTTGACTCGATTCAGCGGCAGAGGGGCGGGATTTACTCTCATTGGCTTAGCACCCTGTCTTTTACAAATAACGCATTTTGAGATTATCTCCCGCACAGTTTTTCTCATACGTAATATCCAATATTTTTCTCTCAATTGACACATCACAGTCTGTACACCAGCATGATTCATACTCTCATGCGTTTCGCGAACTARCAGTTCCACAACTTTATGTCTGCTATCTAATAATATTGGACACAAAAAAGAGAAAWTATCATTTCGCTGTATTATCTTCGTTTTTAATCKTAGTAACCCATCARTATGCTTGAACACTTTAATCGCTGACAATTTCGGATCGTTTTTCGGTAAGAACATATCGTGTTGCAAACATTTTAATAATTTTATTTCTGTYTCTTGAATCTCTTTGTAAGTCAAATATTTTGTTCTTACATCTTTCTTTATCAAAAAATTCTTGAATCTAATCATAATACATAAAAATCTCAGATATTTACTATATGAGGAGAACCTGTTTACCAAGTTCACATCTACACATTTCACATTAAGCATCGTGAGCTCAGCTGACTTCTTGAGCTCGCTATTTACCTCACTTTCGTCAACGACACCTTTCGCACACGGCCAGGTGTCCYGATTCCCGTACAACCAATCCGGTCCCTCCCACCAGTGCGAATCGTACAATTGTTTYGCTTGACAGCCGCGCGACGGTAGATCGGCTGGATTTTGAGGACCGGGTACATATTGCCATGTCCACGATTTTGACAAATGTCTAATTTCGCGTACGCGATTCCACACAAATACGCCCCATTGACTATCACGATTTATCCATGTTAACACAGTWGTCGAATCGGACCAACAAAAAACGGGTATATCTTTATAACTAATGGCCTGTAGAACATCTTCAGTTTGTCGACTACCTATGCAAGCGGCTAAGAGTTCAAGACGCGGTATAGTYGAATTATCTGGTGCGATTCGCGCCTTCGCCGCCAAAAAATGCAATTTTACTTCGTTCTCGTTCTCTACACGTAAAAATGTTACCGCAGCGTACGCTGATTGACTCGCATCACAAAAGGTATGTAGAGAGAAAACGCCTTCACCGAAACTTCTCGGCAATTCTATTTTATTTAAGTAATGTAGCTGATTATACCACGTAAAAAATTCCTTATGTGATTTCTCATCTACTGGTGAATCCCAATCGTATCCCGATTTACACAATCTTTTCAATATTAATCTCGGAATTATCATCACCGGTGCTGTGAACCCGATTGGATCAAATATCTTATGTGAAATCGAAAGAATCTTACGTTTTGTTATCTCGTCACTAATCTCGTCAATCAACACAGTGTTAACCGATATCGTATCGCGGGCTTTATTAAACAAAATCCCGAGCACCCGAGTTTCTTCTYTCTCCGMGTTATCATGGGTATACTCCCACCCTCGTAATTCGAAACCGCCTTTTTTCATTATCGATGTTGCCTGTTCAATAAAGGTCTCCAACTCCGCTGGTGATTTAACACTGGTGACGCAATTGTCTACATAAAARGATTTCGATAACTTTTCAGTAATATATTTTGGTACCCCTTTTATCTGAGAAATGTGATACTCTAATACTGCACCTAATAAAAATGGACTACTAGTGAGACCGAAAACAACGCGTCGGTGACGTAAGGCGATAAGTTTACCCTTCGCGAACCATAAAAATCTCAGATAGTCACGATCTTTCGGATTAATTTCAATTTGAAGAAAGGCCTTGCGAATATCTGCAATTACCGCTATATTGTCTTCTCGAAATTTTAATAAAATTGCAGGAATTAACTCTATAAGATTTGGCCCTTTTTCAAGACACTGATTTAGAGAAGGAAAACCCTTCTCGCTCGCAGAAGCATCAAACACCGGCCGCAGTGGAGTAGTACTTCCAGACTTTATGACGTGACGATGAGGTAAATAGTGAGCTCGATCATTCAACTCGTTGTCCGGTACAACTTCAATTATACCYTGTTCGAGCCACTCCGAGAATACTCTATCATATTTTTCCAGATACCCATCTTTATTTAATTTTCTCACCGTATTACTTAATCTACTTTTTGCCATTTCTAAATTACGCGAAAGAGGCGCGTGGTCATCGACCCAGGGTAAATCAACCGTGTAACGTCCGTTTTCGGTTATAGARACTGTGCTTAAAAAATTTTCTTTTACTTTTTGTTCATTCATTAGCCGATTATTTTTCTCAATGGGATCTCGTATACCTATAACATCCAATTTCCAGAGATCCGAAATGTTTGCTTCACTCACGAACATTGACAACTCACTAATCACATCATCCTCCTTGGTTACCTTAGGTGTTTTACCCATGATAACCCAACCTAATCTTGTTTCAAATGCCGACAAACTCTTATCTACATCGAGTTTTCTTCCTGTAAAAAGCTTACCAGCTACGTCCGCACCTATTAAAACATCGATTGTCTCGCTCGAATCATCGACATTTCTTTGTAAATCTGTGAGATTAATATTATTTTTCTTCAATTTCTCAATCCAG